CATCACCACCATCACCACCACCACCACCACCACCATCACCACCACCACCATCACCACCATCACCACCATCACCACCATCACCACCACCACCACCATCATCATCACCATCATCACCACCACCACTACCACTATTATCTCCACTGACACCATCACCACCACCACTATCACCTCCACCACCACCATCACCACTACCACTATTATCACCACTGACACCATCACCACCACCACTATCACCTCCACCATCACCATCACCATCACCATCAATCACCACATGATGATCATCTTCCCTGTCACCCTACCCCCACCGTCAGCACCACCAGCATCTTCATCGTCTAGTCTATCACCAGCCAGCAGAGGATTCTGTTCACCTTAGACAGGAAGAACCTGAGGTTCAGAGAAGCCAGGATGCCTCTAACTGCTTGATCAGTACCAAATTTGTCACAGAGCCGCCTCCCCCACCCATGCACTCCCCGGCGATGCTGCCTCCTCCGGAGCTCAGCGAGTGGACGGAGGCTCAGATCTGCCTGGGGCTCTGAGGCTGTGCCTGCCCAGGCCTGCACGCACCTGCATGGCCGAGGCCAGCTGCCGGTCCCGCTCTTCCAGCTGCTGGTGCTCACTCTGCAGCTCACTGCCTCGCTGCAGGAGCTTCTGCTTCTCCTCTTCTTTGACTAGGAGAGAGGGGTCCAGGCCCCACCGAGAGGGCAGGTAAGCAGTGGGCAGGACAGGAGGGGAGAGGGGAGGCACAGGACTGAGCCAGAGCCTCCCCGCTTCAGGGCCAGGGGCTCGTGGGGATGTAGGGAACAAGCACCGCAAACGCCCTTCCCAGGACTGGGCCCACCCGGCCTCCCACAGGCGGCGGTGTGAGGGTAGGGGGCGCCTTACCTGTCTTGTGGGTGACGTAGGAGTGCACGATGGCCAGCATGCTAGTCCAGGGCACACCCTCATCCTTCTTTAAGGCCTGGGGGCAGAGGGGAACTGAGAGGGTGGACAGGTCCTGTGCCCTGTGGGGCGTGCCCGGCCGGCTGTGCAAGCCTGACTCCGCACCCCCTGCTCTGTCTGGGGACAGTGGCCACAGGCCACGTGAGCACCATCACAGCGGTATTTTTCTGGGTCTCTCTCCCAAGTAGAGGCTGGGGATGTTGCTATGCACCCCCCCATTCACAGGACAAAGCCCCACGCAAAGACCAAATGCAGCTGACACTCAAGGCCCTCTTGTCACCTGCCTCTGCCCTCCCTGCCTGCCCAGGGTGGCGGTCACCCAGGACCCCGACCTTCTGCTGGCACTTGGGGCACAGCCACCCGCCTTTGGGCGCCGCCTTGAGGGGCGGGTGCAGGCAGCCGAGGTGGTAGGCCCCCGGGCAGGCGCCGCAGCGCAGCAGGTTGGCTCCCCGCTTGCAGGCTGTACAGTGCTCATCGCGCGGAAGCTCACTCTGAAAGAAAAGGGAGGCTGCGGTTAGGGTTAGGTGCGGGGTGAGAGGGCCGCTCTGGGATGGGGTGTAGGTCCTGCAGGGGACAGCACCGGAAACACCTACACCCCTGCATCAGCCATGGCGACCCGAAGGACAGGACTCTGGGACACCAACCAGGGCGCAATGACCAGGGGCGTCCACATGGCGTGACCCTGAGTCCTAATTCTCCATGGCAAGACCTGGGCTCCAGGTGTGAGGACGCGTGCTGGGGTTCCGCTGTGGGCCAGGGGACAGCCCGTGTGTGCGTCCTATCCCAGGAGCTGGGCCAGCAACCGAGACCCAGGCTGAGGCCTGGGGAGGAGCTGTGCCCAGCACAAGCAGCCCAGGACCCTCAACAGCTCGTCCCTGTACCCTGGGCCCAGCATCTAGTGAGCCCCACCCGGGTCCACGTCCACCATGTGGATGAGGACGACCGCCATGCGGTCGCTGCAGGACTGAAGGGAAGAGTGTGTGCAAAGTGCCCCATCACTGTCCAGCCGTGCAGCAGGGCTGAGGGCGCCGGCCACCTTGCCAGGCACTGCCACCTCCCAGAGGCTGTGCGTCAGGGGCCCCTCTGACGGCGGCTTCACAGCCCTGCACTACCCACGAGCTACAGATCTCACCAACTTCCCCGTAAGCTGTGGGTGAACAGAGCTCTGACTTCAGAGCTGAGGCAGGGGGCTCCCACCTGAGGTGGCCATGCCACACACCTCTGGACACCAGAGATGTCCCCGGAGGAGCCAGAGCACCTCACATGACGACCTCATTTTGGTGCCAGGGCCCTGGGAGGGTGAGGCACATGGTCACAGAGTGAGCTAGAGGTGGAGCTGGGACCAGCATCCCAGGCTCCTGCTGCCAAGCCAAGGTCTCTCTGGGCTGGGGGGCTCACAGGGGTGGGGTTCCGGCTTAGGACCAGGCACCAGGTATCTGTGAACAAGCGGCCAGGCTGCTTGTGGAAGACAACACAGCCTACCCAGAGGGGCTGGAACCAACTGCCCCTGCATGTTTAGTGGCTTGGCCAGTACAAGCATGCAGGGCCTCAAAATTCACTCAGGATGAGATCGGAAGCTGGGTGAAGAACACTCAGTAAGTCCCGGGGCCACACCTGGACACCGGGCCATGACCCGTCTACGTCATGGGACAGGCTGCACGGGTCCCAGTGCACAGGATCATAGACTGGGTGGGCATGTGGGGTGAGCCCCTGGGGACTAGCACGCCCTGCTGGGATGAGCAACAGAGGACAAGGGCGGGCCAGCTCTGCCTGGGGTCACACAGTGAGCCGGGCATAGCCAGGGTGGGAACCAGCACTGGCTGCTTCCACGGGCCTTTGCGGCTCCTGGAGTCCCTGTCCCCGTGGCACTGGGCAGGGAGGGCTCCCTGTGGTGATGCCCGGCTCTGCCAGAGGAGAGGAAAGCAGGCTCATGACGTGCGAAGCTCCTGGCACCTAGGGTAGAGCCAAAGGCCTTGCCTCGGGCCCCACTCCGGGCTGGGCCTGTCCAGGGGACCTCCCTGCACTGCGCAGAACATGCCCCGCCCCCGGGGGTGAGCTGGGCACGTACCTTCCAGCAGGGGTCCTCATTGGCTGGCACAGGGAGAAGGGTGAGAACAGGTTAGTGGGCAATGGAGGAACAAAGGGCCAGCCTGGGTTCGGAAAGCCTGGCGCGGCAGGTGCTCTCCCAGGGAATGATGGGAGCATCACAGCCCCAGGGGAGACTGGATTTCCACCCAGGGCATGATGGGAGCCTCAAGAGGACCCAGGGAGGCCTGCGCTCGGCCAGGACCCACCCTAGGCTCGGGTTCGCGGTGCCTGAGCTCACTGAGGAGACTGGCGACAAGGAACTGCCCGGTGGAGCTCCCCTCACTCCAGAGACCCCTCGGTGCGGGTTTTTAGTTCCTGTCCGGCTGTTGCCCCCCTCACTCCAGAATGTGGTGCCTAATCACACACTTAAACGACCACAGGAATGGCTAACGCCGAGTGCGGTGCCGGGCAGCTCACCAGGCTCTGGGGTAGAGGCAGCTGCAGCCCATTTTGTAGTCTGGAAGACCGAGGCCCAGAGAGCTGTCTGAGCTATTTGTACTTGTATATATTTTTCTGACTGAGAGTAATTAATAAGCAGTCCCCCTGCTGTGTATGTGCAGTGTGTCTTCCCGGGGGTCATGCGGCTGAGCAAGGCTGGCTGAGAGCAGAGGGGCCTCTGAAAACCCCCGAGGGCCTCAGCCCTTCGCCCCCGCATCCAGTGGACGAGCAGAGCAGAGCCCAGCCCCAACAACGAGCCCGGCCTTTCACTACCCAGGCAGGCACAGGACAGAGGGACAGGAGTTGCCAGCCAGGGTCCGGACCGTGCCCCACGGGCAGAGGCCGCGTTGCCATGCCTCGGGCTGCTCAGCCCCCATCCTCCCCACCCACCCACGCAGACAGGTCCTGCTGGGGCCGCCCAGCACTGCACAGCCCGGTGCCCTGCCGGCCCTGCCCCGCGCCACCACTGCCACTCACCTCGCGCTGTGAGGAACAGGGGGCTGTTGGGATAGCTGGAGGCCAGCCGCTTCCTCTGTGGGCACAAACACAGTAACCACTCACCGTGCGTCGGAACGCTGCCCTGCTGCCCCTGCACATGCAGAGGGACGGCCCCCTCCCGGGGCTCCCAATGCCAGGTGGGAGGAGCCAGCAGCGGCGCTGCACCCGCCCTAAAGAGCCTCCCTGCTGCGGCGACGCAAGCTCAGGAGACACGGATGGGGCGGAGGGCCTGCCTGGCCCCTGCCCCTGCTGGGTGCAATGGCTTCACCACCTCCCTCCAGACTCCTCGGCGCTCGAGCCTGGGGTGTCCCAGCCCTTCCTGCCCTGGCCCTGGGACCCCACTTCCCTCAGGACAGCATCTGGCTCCTAACTCAGGAATTTGGGAGTTAACTCAAAAGGGCAAGAAGACTTCATTCGGGCTCAGCTGCTCGAGGAGGTTGTGCTGATGGGCGGGACACGGTGCCAGAGGAACCCGGGGTCACACCCAGGTCTGCACCGCCTTGTCCAACTGTGGAGTACAGGACAGGCTTCGGATGAGGAGGGACCTCCCTGCCTGCTAAGTCAACCTTTAAGGTCCTGTTCGGCCTCCTGCCAGGCCCTGGGGGTAAGCGTGGGATGGCACAGTGCCAGGGGCACACCTGTGTCTGCAGCCAGGTTGTCACCTGCAGGGGGACGGCGGGCTCAGGACAAACCAGAGGTGGCTATGATATCAGAGTTGTGAGTGCCCAGTGGTCCTGGGGTCCCTGGCCCCAGCCAGATCTCTGCTCAGAAGGCCCCCCACTTTTGTCCCCAGGGAGGACAGACCCCCTACGTCGGTGTGGGACAAGGAACCAGTGCGCGCTGCTCATGCTCTCAGCCCATCCTGTGGGGCGGGCCGGGCAGCTCTGCACACAAGGCCCGAAGGGGTCCCAGGAAGGGGGATCCACTGCGTGACCGCAGCTGCCCACACCTCAGTGCAGCCCCATCCACAGTGCTCCCCAGGGTGGCTTCCGCAGGGGCTCGGCTGACAGCTTTGCTACCTGCACTTTTCCCGTCCACACCCAAGCGGGCCCAGTCCCCACCTCGGTCTCCAGGAGGCCGCTGTAGGCGGGGTTGGCGGTGCTCCTCCTCTTCCGCTCCTGGCGCTTGCTCTGGATTTCTGGAAGGCACAGACTCGGAGGTCACCGGCTCCTCTGCCGGGAACCCCTAAGCAGCCCTGGGCACCGTGTCCACGTCTGCCCAACACCCCCTCCCTGCAGTGGCCGGGGCAGGGTGGAGCCTCCAGGCATCACCCCTCACTCCAGGCATCAGACCCAATGGAGGAGTCTGGCAGGTGGCAGCCCCGCTCCTAGCCCACAGCACCCTGTGTGTTGTTGTGCATGGGGCACCCGGATAGCATCAACAATGCCCACGGGTCAGATGCCAGTGTGGCCAGCTGCAGAGGGAGGCTTTGGCTCCTGGCTGGGCCAGCTGTGGTCTCCCCGGCATCCTGGAGTCCCTGGCCTGAGCAGCGTCTGCAGGTGCGGCATACGCACCTCCAAGCCCAGGGATGCGTGTTGTGGACGCTGCAGACCCTCCCTCGCCTGGCTGTCACCGGCCCTTGCTGCCGGGTGGACGGGCAGTCTGCCGCCTTCTCATCCCTGCTGCAGCTGTCCCTTCTTTACAAACCCTCCCAGCGCAACGCTGTGCACCTCCTGGGAGGTACCACGGGCCTCCTTGGGAGGAGATGGGGCCCAGATCAACATTTCGGGTATGTGGGAGTGGGGAAAAGTGTTCAAAATGAGGACTATTCATAAAAACAGTCACTTGTCTCTCCCTCCTCTGCAGTGCCAGGATGCAGTTTTCCTTCTGCCAGAAATGAGGAAGTGGAGGTTCAGCGTGGGGAAGGAATGGCCGAAGATCACCCAACTGGCAAGTGTCATGGCCAGGACTTGGACATGGGTCTTCTGTCCCCACCACCCCACGTGGTCTCGGGGCTTCAAAGTCAGTTTCAGAATGGTTTTCACAGGCAAGTTGAGGACGGAAGGAGCCTTAGGTTCAAGTTCACAGCATCAGACAGTGGTGGGGACACATTACCGTGTCATCTTGATCAGTCTGGGAGTCGCCCAAGGGGTCAGCGAAGCACCCTTCTGGGTGTGTCTCAGTGGGTCATGGAGGTGTGACCTTGGGAACTACACATATCTGATCCCTGGCTTTTTCCTCTCTGCTGCCGTTCCCCTGTTCTGCTTTGCTTCCCCAGGCCCTTCCAGCATGATTTTCCTGCCTTAGAGCCAGTCAACCCTGGGCTGAATCCTCTAAACCCATGAGCCCAGTTAAACCCCTCCTCCCTCAAGTCAGGGTGTCGGTTACTACGGCCCAGCGGCAGGAAAGTAACTCAGTAGATGAGCTCATATAGTTGAGCTCAGAGCTTGCCTTCCTGCCTGGCACAGAGGTGAGCCAGGGCCACCGGGATGGGGTCTCTCTACAAGAGCCAGGCCAGTGAGCTGGGGTCTGGAAGGTGGGGTCCTTCCACTGCCTCTACCATCCACATTACCCAGCTGCTGCCAGGCAGCAGGAGCACCAGGGGTGGCACAGGCTGTTCTCTCAGAGGCCCATGAAAGGGCCTGGCTCTCTCCCAGCATGCTGGCCTCAGCTGAGCTCAGGAGGGTTTGCTCTGAAAGCTGTGTAGCCTCGGCCGGATCCGCTGCCTTCCCACACATTTCTCACTCGACCTTACGCTGAAGCTTGCGGCCTTCACACTGAGCTACATCCCCAGCCCTTTTCATTTTTTGAGACTGGGTCTTGCTAAGTTGCCCAGGCGTGGGCCACTGTGCCCAGCTCTGTTCTGGCTTTTAAGGAGGAAATGTAAAGCAGTCTAGCTTCTGCGCCCAGGTGCACCTGGGCATTTTCACTTTATGAAATGTCTTTAGCAGGGCAGGGGTTGTGGTGGGAGACTCTAGGCTGGGAGTCGGGAGACCTGAGTTCCAGCCTCATCCAGAAATCAACTGGTTGAGTGACCTTGGGCGGGTGAATCAACTTCTCTGGCCTCAGCTCCCTTCCCCTGACATGAACAAGAGGCCGGCATCTGTGCTTCTGGGTTGATTAGTCCCTGGGACCCGCTCTCATTGGAAGTCAAACAGCACCTCCAGAGCCACACAGTCTACCTGACGTTCCCAGGCCTAGTGGTGTGTACGCTGTGATCTGACATCCACAGGCCAGGTCCACCCTCTAATGCCATATGGTTCCCAGCTGGGGGCAGTACACGGCTCCTGGCACTTTACACCAAGAGGAAGGCTCCCTGATCCCATTCTACAGATCGACAAAGCAAGGAAAGGGGACTTGAGGAAACATCTGCTCTCAGAGTTAGTAAATGGCAGAAATGGACAGGGCATTGTCTTCTATCACTTCACGGTGCTGCCTCCAGAGTGGGGACAGGGACCCACGAGTCCCCTTCACGGAAACAAGGAAGTGACCCGGGGGGTCCATGCAGCCCCAGAGCACAGAGAGCTGCAAGGCCTCTCCGTCCCACTTGCCTTTGGTGACAGCCACCTACCCTGAACTGCTTGGGGCATAGCTCCCAGGAGGAGACCAGCCCTCGACACCTGACCTGGATCTCCCAAAACCAGCTGCCCGTAGTACCAGCCCCCGCCCCAGGCCAGCGCTCACCCCTTACCTTCCAGGTGCTCTGTCGTGACCAGGCCGAGCGCTACCATGAAGGCGATTTTCTGCAGGATCAAGGGGTGGAGTTAGCGCGGCCTCTGACCTCCCCAGACCCGCGCCAGGCGTCTGCCCGAGACGGCTGCAGGGTTAGGGCTCCAGGTGCCCCTGCCACCAGCCACTGCTCCAGACACCAAGAAAGTGCCCAGGAAATGCTGGGCAACCAGGCTCCCCAGGAACCCCCTGGAGGAGGGGAGGGCGCCCCAAAAAGCCTAGGAAAGTATGCACCTCAGGTACGTTTGAAGACACTGGTGCGTGCAGGACAGTCACTGTCATAGTCAGAATCTCTGCACCGCCAGGCCAGTCACTGCTCCTGGTCACTGCTTACTTACTTAACACCAAGCTGAGCACCTGTGAACCCACTGATAAACACGAACCCCCACACCCAACAGCCAGCCGCACCTCCCTGTGTCCTCTCCTCGCCCCGCCCCTCTGCTTCCTCTCAGGAACCCTGCTCCTGGGGCCTGGAATCGTGGTTTCTGGACTTTTCCCATCCGCACACTCCCGTCACCCATCTGCATAGATCTAAACGTGGCAGGACTTAGTCTGACCTGCTCTGACTCCCCAAAGGGCCGCAAACTGCATTACGGCTCACAGCGCGGTGTTTCCCATCCAACATCCCTCAGTTCCTGCTCCTGGCCCAGGGTGAGGCCTCCCTAGGTCCACCCTCTGCCACCATCCACTGTGGGCAGGACTGAGGGTGCCACGGGACGGGGTCACATCCTGGTGCTTGCATCCTTCAGGCGCTTCCTTCCTCCACTCTGGGACACGTCAGAGGCCACCTCCCCGCTTCCCCCCTAAAGAGACCCGTGCCTTCCCTGCCTGGGGGCCACAGCGTTCCCCACGCCATGAGAGGCCGGGAACGTTCCCACCGTGCCTCAGTGCTGCCGGCTTTCCCCGGGGTCCCTGGAGTGTCCTTTCAAGATGGAGATAGAAGTCTTTATTTTAGTACATTTTTTAAGAATTATCTTTGTAAAGGGAGGTGTCAGCACATCATGAAAAGCAGAGCCGGTAAGAATCAGCGCTGTGAGGTACGCGCTGGGGTAACCCGAGTTCTGGAAATGGGGGTCCCAGGTCCAGGTCCAGCAGCTTGGCCAAGAAGAGCAGTCGGTTCGGGCAGCTGCTCACTATCACCTGGTTCATAAATCACTTCCAGCCGCCTGGCTAAATGGACTCCCTGGACTGTCCCGCTGCGCCTGAGCCCATGCTGGTCTCTTCCTGTGATCGTTTCCTTATCTTTCAGCTGCAGGAAGCAGGGATGAGGCCAGCTGTCCCGCCCCCTGGGCAGGCAGGAAATGGGGACTCAACCTTATACACCCAACATCTTTGTCTGGAGGAAGGGCTGGGGGCAGGGAGGGGAAACTCAGGTCAGGGGGTTTCCAGGGGCATGGTCAGGACCGTCCTGAGTCCCACTCGATGAGGTCAGAGGCCGAGGTGACTGCTCCAGTCCCACAGCCGTGGGCGGAGACAGCAGGCTCTGGGTCAGACAGCCTGGTTACAGCACCCGGCTCCGGGGAGCTCCACTTCTGTCACTGGCTAGTGTGGACTCTTAGCCCCACGTAAGACAAGGATCAGACCTGGGCTGGTTCCTTAACTTGCTGACATCTGTCACCACTGTCCAATCTCCTTCTCAGGGTCCTAACAGTGGAAGTCCCTGTAGAGGCTTCCAAGACGTTCCTGTCAGCTGAAAGTTCTTGCTCAATTTGGATAGAAATCGTGATTTGGCAAAGCGTGACTCTTTTAGTGCTGACCACCCCGGGCTGTGAATGCCAGCAGCTACCGGCAGCATGGGGAGCCCTCCCGGCTGTGGGGATGGCGGCTCCTGGAGATGGCAGCTTTTGACTGTTCTTGGGGCTCTCCAGTGCTTCAGGGCTGGTGGCCCCTGATGTCACCAGCTCAGCACTCACCATGTGAACAGGCAGGAACATGCCACCTGGAAGAGGCTCTTTTAGAGCTCGTGGTGCAGCATATGAGGAAATGGCAAATGGACTGAGCCAGGCTTCCCTGAGGGGCTGCTGAGACAGGTTGGCCGGGAGTGGGGGGCAGGGCTGCAGGGCAGCGTCACCTGTCGTTGGTCTGTGGCTGATGCCCGAGGTTGCCCATGCAAGCACCTCCCAGTGCAGCCTGGTCCTGAGGAGTAAATGCCCTCTTGGGGATCACTGGGTCTCTCTCCCTGCTTCCCACCTAGCCCACGACCCTTCTGAACAACTGCCAGCAACAGCTGCAGGTGTACCATGGGTCACTGGGGGCCGCGGCTGACCACACAAGCACCTCCCGGCAGCACACACCAGTGAGGTACCTGCCACACAGGGCTACGGAGATATCCTGCCCGGCAGTTCCATTTCTCTACAAAAACCAGTGTCTCCCAGCGCCTCTGAGCTCCTGCCTGGCTCATCCAGCAAGGTTTCTGGGTGCCGCTGCCCGGCTTCAAGGGTCAAGGAGACACTTCACTAATGGAGCCGATGCCGGCAGGTCTCTGTGTGCCTCTCCGCCGCCCTCTTTCAGAAGAAGCTTTAATAAAAGCGTTTACACCAGGACAGGTTGTAACTACAAGTTCCATGGAAGGCATTACTGTGTCTATGCTAATTGCTAATTAGCATATGCTAATTGCTAATTTATACTAATTGTAAAAATGCATGATAATCGACCAAGATACACTCTGCGAGCACAAAGGGAAGCCACCCAGAGACCCCTCGGAAGGCTGAGGGTGCAGCACAACCTCGAAGAAGGAGAGCAGGGCGCAGCCAGCCGGCATAGGGTTTCCCTGCGCACACAGCAGGGCTCACAACTGAATGTCCCTCATGAGGGAAGTGGGGCTGGGAGACGTGGTTCACACTGTGGCCACATCAGCAGTTGATCTTGCTGGCCTTGTGCACATGCCAAGGACAATCTCCAAGCCATGCTCCTGCTCGAAGACACTCCTGGCTCCCCATCACCTAAGGAGTAAGGTCCCACCCCAGCCACCTGTGTCCAGATCTTCCAAGATCTCTCTTAGCACTGGACCTAGAGGTTCCCATGCACATCTGCCACTGTAGTCCGACAGCCAGCTGACTCCCCAGGGTGGGCAGAGCCCTTCCCCATGGGAGGGCTGACATGGGACCCTTCGCCAGACATCCCAAACCCTGCCTCCTGCCTGTGCTGTTCCCTGGCCTCTGCTGACCGTGTCCCCCGTCTGCACCCTCCAGGCCCCTGCAGGAGGAAGCCCAGCCCTCTCCCCACTGCAGCCTCATCTGTGGCTCTGCTACTGGACACGTGTAGCCCACACTGCAGTCCCTCGTGGCCACCTGCTGCCCACCGTCATGAGCTTCTCAAGAACAAGGACCACATCCACCCCCTCACGGGGGCCAGCAGGGAGACACCTGTGCACCCTGACAGGACAGGCAGGCACTCAGAAGCCCAGTGAAGGGTGAGTGGAGGGTAGAGGACGGGTGAGGACTCTGCAGCCAGGACTGAGGCTGGAGCGGGGGAGCAGGCTGCCTGGGCCTGGATGGCGGGGACGTCATCTGAGGACATCAGCCACAGCACCAGGACAGCTACCTGGGCCAGAGCTGCCGAGCCACCTCCAACTGTAGGGCTCTCAGCGGGTGTCACAATGTCCCCCACAGCCCTTTGTCCCCACTCCTTTGGGACCCTGGGGAGGTGTTTTACGTGTGACTTCTGGGAAAATCTTTAGGTCCTTAAAGGAGACCAGCCAAGGGGGCAGCTGACTTCTGCAGCACCCAGGGTCCCGCTCCGGCCACAGCAGAGGACAGACAGGGCTTCGTGAGGGCCACGTGCAGCCAGGCATTGCTGTCTCCCTGGGCTGGAGGTCCTGAGGATGGGGACCACACCCAGGGCTCTGTGGAAGGGGGTCCACACCCGAGTTGGGGCCCCGTGACAAATGAGGAAACAGGCAACCTGCCCAGGTCCTGTGCTGGACACCACACTGACCACTGCCCCACACTGCTACGACACCTGCTGTTACGGTCTGTGTCTGGATGTCCCCCAAGCCTCATGCAGTCATGGGGCGGGATTTTAGAGTTTATGATTGATTCGTGGTCCAATGCTGGGATCATGGGTGGGAGTGCTACACCCACCCTGGGACGGGTAGTTTGCATGCAATGTGAGGGAGGGAAAGAGGCTTGCTGCCGCTCCTCCTTTGGGCTCTGGCTGCTTTTGCTGTCTTGTGCGGCCTTGAAGAGTTGCCCCTGTGCCCTGCCACCCTGCCTTGGAGCCAGCTGATTATGGACTGAAACCTCCACAAACTCTGAGCTAGATAAACCTTTCCTTCCTTAACTTTGGGTATTGGGTAGTTTGTCTCAGCAATAAGAGAAAAGTAACGGAGACACCTGCTCATCCCTAGGCTGGGCGGCCGAGAGCTAGCTCACCAGGTGAGTCCCGGACAGCAGCCGCCCTGCACGGCACGGTGCCACAGCAACTGGATCACCCCACAGCCCAGCAGCGCCCTGTACTGCGCCTGACCCACAGCCTGGGCCCTGGGCATGGGCCACCTACCTCGGGGTTCTCCGGGCTCGGGGCTCGGTCTTCCTTCTTCCTCTTGGCGGCCTGAGCTCCCTGAGACGGCTCCTCCGTGGGCGGCCGGGGCTCCGCTGAGCTTTCGGGCTGCGTCTGCACTTGCGGCTGGATGATGATGACCTGGGGAGGTGGCAGGGGTGAGGGCTGGCAGAGGTGCAGGGGCCTGGGGGGTGAGCTGGGTGGGTGGGGGCCCAGGTGCACCCTGACAGGTGCAGCACGAGCAGGTGCACCCACGGTGACCAGAGCTGCACCTCCCAACTCCCCTTCCGCCCTGTGAGCATCTGCATGAGATGGCCAGGTCTAGGGAGCAAGAAGCCCTGGGTTCAAATCCCATGCCCCCAGTTTCCCCACTGTGTGGGCTCAGGCAGGTCCCCCTGCCTCCCTGAACCTCAGCCTCCTCACTGCCTGCACCACGCCAATGCCTACCGCCAGGCAGGCTGGTCTCTACCCCAAACGCAGGTAAACTGAGGTAAAGGGCTCAGACATGTTCCCTGCTGAGACTGTCAGGTTAGGTGGCAGAGGGCTGGGTTACTCCCAGCAGGCCTGGGGCAACAGGGCTCTGGGTCCTAGGCCTGCCCCAGAGGCCTGGGTGGCAGGATGCCCGAGGTGACCAAAGCCACTTCTCCCTGGCTGCCCCTCCTCCTAAACCCCCACTGTTCCACTTCTTTATTCCGGACAAGGCCCTGGAAAGAACGGCTGTTTTTCATGCTTCCAGGAAGAGCAAGTCACCAGGAGCAGCCAGCCAGGACCTGACCCAAGCCAGGGCCAAGCTGAATTGTTCTCGGTTTTGTTTCCCGCAGAACAGGTGCGGACCGTTTTAGGAACTCCAGGCTTCTGAGCCGGAAGAGGAAAATGTGCAGTTTTTCTGCTGGCTTAACAGATCTGCTGCATTCTTTGCATCACATTTTCAGACATTAAATGCTCTGCAGAGAAAGCCAAAATGCTCTTTTTTCATGTTGCCGAGAAGAAAACCATTAAGTTCTTCAACAGGAAAAAGGGCCCCAAACCTCCTGGAGCCAGTCACAGAGCCAGGATGGGTACAGGTGGAGGGAAGGTTCCACCTACTGACCTGAGGAGCCCAGCACACAGCGGCCTCTCCACACCTACGGGGTAAGTGGCACGGGTACAGCCAGTGCACCCCGCCCCGTCAGGCGCCATCTGGGGGCACTTGCCATCTGACCCTGACCCAGGACGACCCTGTGAGCTCTGAGAATCCTTCCAGGTACTGCTGGTGGGGGAAGGGTGGACGTGGAGCCCCAACACCTGGGCTGGGGAAACTGAGGCCACAGGGGGGAAATGGCAGCAGCCCCTGCCTGCCTGGACAGGAGCTGGTGGGGTGACAGGGAGAAGATCTTAGCTTCAGACTTAAACCGCGGCAAGAAAGAAGTCAGGGATTTCCCATCCAGGCACCTTGGGTGTGAAACATGAGCTGTCAGCAGAGACGGATGAGGGGTGCGGACGAGGGGCGCAGGGCTCCTGCATCGCGCGATCACCTCCTCATTCCACCCGCGGTGACCGACACGGCCATCGGTCACTCCGGCTGCACTGGTGTTGATTCGCTCCACCGATTTGCCTCACTCAGGTGCCGATCCCAGCCACCCCTCAGCTCACTCACCCCGCCCACCACTGCCCTTGCGCATTTATTCTGCTCCTTCACTCACTTCTGGCTGGCTGTCACTCCCCCAACGCGCTCCATCCCACGGCCGCAGGGCCTCCCACCTGTGCCCTCCGGGACAGCCCCTGCCTGCGGCGGGCGCTCACCTTGCTGTCGGCACTGATGAGGAGAGGCTGCACTTTGATGCTGTCACTGACCACGGGCACGGCGGTGCTGGGGGCGATGGCGGTGGCATTGCTGGGGGAGGTGGAGATGATGGCATAGGCCACCCCAGCGCCGCTCAGGGGCGAGGCGATGGCGGTGGGCTCGGCGAGGGCCTGGGGCTGGCTGCCGAGCGTTGGCACATGGCTGACGGTGTTGTTGGCAGTGGGGAGGGCTGGGCTGGGGTTCTTGATGCTGACCACAGTGCCCTTCTGGAACGTCGGGGGCTGCTTGGGTGGCCGGTCCCTGCCCGGGGCGACGGGGAGGCTGTCTGGAATCAGAGTCTTTGGCCTAACCTGAGGAGAGGGGCAGGTGTATAGTCAGAGGTGCTGCAGAGCCGCTCAGAGTGTCCACCTCAGAGGCACAGGGCAGGCCTTGCGGTGACCCTGGCTCCGGGCCCTGACCCCAAGCGAGGTTCCCTGGCCGCATGCGCACCGACTCTACGGGGCTCGGGGGAGCTGTTCCCAGTTGGGTCCCCACTGGATCAACTGAGGGACACAGGGTGGGGGAGAGGAGACGGGACGTGGCCTGGACGAGACGGAGGGGCCGCAGAGTGCCTCAGGTCCCCGAGCACAAAGCACCCTGGCGTTGGAACTGCAGGGAGCACAGCCTTTTGGGGGCCAGGGTCAGGGGCCCTGCTGCTCCGACGGGTGGGGCTGGGCCGCTGCTGTGTCCCGGAAACCACGGAGCTGCGCCCGTGCAGTCCACAGCCCAGACATTGGTCCCTCTGCGGAGTCCGCGCACAGCAGGGCAAAACTGTGCGGCAACCAGCAACGGGAGAGTCAGGCCGCCCGGGCCTAATCCCAGCTCCTATGGGACTGTGTGACCCTGGGGACACCTCAGGGTTCCTGTGTCCCGCCCCTTACTTGTACACCGGGGTGACAGGGCCACCAGTGTGGTTGCGGGTGGGCGAGCAGCTGCCCGGCAAGTGCCAGCTGTTGCCAGGGTCCCATCATTCCATGCACCTCGAGCCACAAGGGAGGTCACCCAAGCCCAGAGGTTCACACAGGCACCGCCTCCTCAGAGACGTGACGAGGGGCTGGCACCCACACAACCGCACTGCAGGGTGCTGTCCTGGCCACCCCCGGGGGGGTCAAACTGAGGCAGAGACTTGGCCTAGGCAGTGGGATGGGAGGTGGGACTGCCAAGCCTGCCTGGCAGCTGTGATGGCCACAGAGCACTGATGACCCTCACGTCCCTTTGTTCCATCTCCAATGACAAGAGGTGGGAGGGAGGGGAGGGCACCTCTGTGGGCCCTAAGCCTTGGGCACCATGCCTGCAAGCTCAGCCCACTGACCGGTGGCTCTGTGCCAGCCTCAAAGCAGGGGATGCCTCTGGCCCGCATCAGCCCCTCTGAGCGGGGAGCCTCCAGCCCAGGAGACCGGGAGTCAGGTGACCTGTCCGGGCACAGGGGCCATGATGCAGCCTGGCCTAGAACCCAGGCACCCAGGCCCCTCTGTGCGGCCTCCAAAACGAACTGGCTCATCCACACTTCCTTCGGTGCACTGGACTGTGACCCGGGACAGAAACACAGTGCCCAGCAACGGTGCTTAGCTGCGCCTGGCTGCCTGCTCGTCCATCCCGTCCAGCCCCACTTACTCCATTGGAGGATTAATTCTGGTCACGGCCACTGAACTGGCCTCGCACTTTCTCACCGTCTGAAAACCCAGACTCCTCCCTGTATGAAACCCGTCCGAAAGCACACAGTGACAAATGGCAGAGGAGGGGGTGGAGGGACCCAGCTCGGGGACTGAGACCCCGGGGACAGATGAGGACACCTGGAACCCCTGGCATCGCTTACCTGAGGTAGCACGGCCGCTCCTTGCCCGGCCAACCTCTGCAAGGAGCTGACCTGAGGACCCGTGACAGGCACTGCAGTGATGCTTCCCAAAGCCTGCAAGACAGAGAGACGGACTGAGCCGGGACACGGAGCTGGGGCGGGCTCGGCCCCGTCCAGCCGGCTGAGCTGCGGAGGGCTATCCCTGAGACGGCAAAGTCTACCCTTTCTTTTTCCTTCCTTTTCTTTTTTTCAGTGGTGAGGACTGAACCCAGGGCCTTCACACTGAGCTACATCGTCAGCCCTTTTATTCTTTATTTTGAGACAAGGTTTCATGAAGTTCCTGAGTTGCCCAGGTTGGCCTCGAACTTGTCATCCTCCTGCCTCAGCCTCCCCCAGTGCTAGGACAACAGGTGGGTGCTGCCATGCCCAGCTTAGTCTTCCCTTTCTTATGGGTCTTTTTATAAATCACAAAGTAATCTGTCTTCCTTGAAGAAATTTTGAAGAGAAAGAAAGAGAATGGTATAACCAAGAAACCTTCCTTTGGTAAGGTTTTAAGCAGTCAGACGAGTTCTGTAACCCATTTTCCTACTTTTACTTAAGAATCTGTGAGATTTTCCACTGTCCCATAGTCTTCATCAATCATCCCTTGATGGATGAGGACTCTTCAATTCAGCAGGAGTGTTGGTATTTTCTAGTTCATTACACAAACACACACACACACACTTCCCTGCCATAGAATGAAGCTTTAGCCCATTCTTTTCCAGTTAATAAACAATGCTGCAATCAACATCTCTGTGGGCGCCACATCTCAGGGTATTTCCCAAGGAGAGAGTCCAAAAACAGGGATGAATGGGTGAAAATGTGGGAGTACTTTTCAGGCCCTTGACATTTATCCCCGCTGGGCTCCTGGTAGGGGCATGCCCTGAGTGTGACCTACACCCCCCTCAGATCCCAGCACCACCCATGGGGGATGCCCCAGTGCATGATGGGAAAATCACAGCAGCAGCATGGGGGATACTGGGAGGGGAGGAGGTAAGAGGTGACACCCCCAGGACTCCAGGCTTACAGAAAGAGAGATGTGTTTGGGGTGTGCACTTGTCCTGAAGCCTCCTTCTGTGGGAGCTACCATTATGCACAGCTCTGATGGAGAAGCAGTTCTCAGGGCCAGGTCTGCACCCTACAAGCCAGGGGATATGGGGAAAAGGCGCCTCTCACCCCGGGCCAGTTAAACTGTCACCAGCAAGGTTCTCTCTTAAACTCAGATGCAAACAGTCTTAACAGAAATGTTAGCAGATCAGCTCCAACACTAACTCAAAGCAGAATATATCATGAACAAGTCAGTACCCCAGGGGTACAGGACTGCTTCACTGCTTAAGAATCAATAGTGTAATTTTCTTTTTTTTTTTTTTTTTTGGTTTTTCTCCGGTACCGGGAACTGAACTCACGACCTTGCGCTTGCCAGGGAGGCGCTTTTGCCGCTGAGCTAAATCCCCAGCCCCTAATAGTGTAATTTTCTATAAGAAAATCTCAAAGGAGAAAAATCATATATTTATCTCAGTAGATGCAAAAAAAATGCTAAAACCAATGCATGAGTTTAACAAGGTTGCTGGATATAAGAATAATATAGGATACTAACTACCGGTACTCAGCAATTTAAAAATGTCTAAGTACCATTACAATGGCATAAAAAATAACCAGAAAAAATATTCAGGGATAAATCCAACAGTAGCTGTATAAGACCTGTAAGCTGAAAATACTATTGAGAAAAAATTTAAAAGACCCAAGTAAGGAAGATATACCATAATCATGGAGCAGAAGGCTCAGTAGGAAGATGTTGATTCTCCCAAGTGGAGCTATAGAGTTAACGTAACTCCAATCAAACTCTAAGCAAGACTTTTTATTTGTGGAAATCAATAAGATAATTTAAATGCACATATAGAATAAGGGGCCTAAAATAAGCAAAACAACTCTGAAATAAACATAAACAATAACCAAGAGTCACTACCTGGCCCTGGGAACCACTGTGAAGCTATAGTAGTCAACATGGTGTGGGGTTGGTGTTAAAATGCATGAATATATCCCTGAACCAAGAGTTCAAACTAGACTCATTCAGTCAGGTAATTTTATGCAAAGGCTGAAAAGATAATTCTGTAAGGAAAAGGCAGTCTCTTCACAAATGGTGTTAGAGCAATGAGATACCCATACACTAAAACCAAAAAAGAATTTCAATCCAAACCACCACTCATATTAAACAAAAAATTAACTAAAGACCTAAACGTAGAGACTAAAACTAAAACATTTCCAGAAGAACAAGTAAGAGAAATTTTTTGGAGTTGGGTTAGACACAAAAGTATAATTCACACAGGAACAAACAAACTTCAAGAAAAGTTTCTCCTCAAAGTGAAAAAACAGGGTTAAGAGAATATAAATCCAGGCCACCGACCGAGGAAAGATCACACACAAATAACTTGACCAGAGCAAAGGAAAGAGCTCTAGAAATGCAGCAACCTGAAAACAAACACCTTGTTTAAAAACAGAAGAGTAGATCTGAATAGCTACTTCACTACAAAAGCTATACATATGGCAAATAAGCAGAGGAAGATACCGGTTGTTAATAAGGAAATGCAATTTCCTTTCCATAATTTAACTGCAATATAATTACCACAGTAAGATCCTACTACATACCTACTCGGATGGCTAGGATAAGATGGACCAAGTCGCCATGTGTGGTGGCACACACCTGTAATCCCAGCACTCAGGAGGCTGAGGCAGGAGGATCCTGTGAGTTCGAGACCATCCTGGGCTACAAGGTGAGCTCAAGGCAAGCCTGAACCAGACAGTGAGACCCTATCTCAAAAAGACAGGAAAAAAAAAAAAAAAAAAAAAAAAAAGATGGACTAAATCAAGGGTTGGCCAGGAAGCACAGCAACTGGAATGCTGTATGCTCCACTGCTGCTGGGAGTGTAAAATGGCACACTCACTTCTAAAGGCAGTTTAGTGGTTCCTCAGAAACACACATTTCCTGACATGGACTGAATATTTGTGCCCCCTGGTTCATGTGTGGAAACCCCAGTCCCTGTGTGATGGAATTTGGAGTTGGGACTTTTGTGCCTTTAGAAGGAGAGAGAGCCTGCTTCCTTCCCCTCCACTCCCCTCTGCCATGTGAGGACGTGGAAAGGTGCCCGCCCATCTGCAAAGCGGCCCTCATCTGGCAGCGAAACACCTGGCACCTCGATTTGTACCTCCCGGGCTTCCCAACTGTGAGAGATAAATGCCTGCGGCTCTTGCTGTCCCGTCAGGGGGTTTTTGTTACAGCAGCTGGACCTGTCCAGGTGTTCGGCGCACGATCCAGCCAATTCTATCCCCGGGCCTCTAGAGGGGCATACGTGGCTGCACAGCGACCTATCACTGAATGCTCACTGCAGCTGGGAGCAACCAGCGTGCCCAGCAGGTGTCCGGACCAGAGCCCTGCCGCACCACAGGAGGTGCCTACTCAGCTGCAGAAGCCATCTACATGGGGTACCTGCAAGCACAGGGCCCCCTTGAGCCAAGTCCTAGGGAAGAACGGGTTTTCCCCCACCAGGCCTGCAGCCCCAGGCGCTATGGTCCCTGCTTGCACAGAGGTGCAGACCAAAGCGCCTCCCTTGGTCTTGTGTCCCCCTCTGGGTGCCCAGAACACCCCAGGGCGCTCCCCGCGGGGCCAGCCCAGCCTCTGGGGCTCCCCACTCTGCTTCTCTTCATCCAAGACCTGCCCCCAGGCGTGCTCCTCCGTCCTTATAAACCTCTCATTAACGAGCCGAAGAGACGTTTTATTTGGCAAGGGCTGACCTTTCTGCTCCGTGCTGGAATTTATCGATACGGTAGAAACAATCATCTCAGAGGCTATTTCACGAGCGCCGGGGATTTTACAGCCGCGCTTTTGTCAGGATAAATGAGCTCCTGATGACGACGTTCACAGCTCTAAGCATTTTAATAGGGGAAAAAAGGGCCATAAAAGTCAAAGATAACTTCAAATTTCCCTGCATTCGCTGAGTTCCGCTGGCAGCCAGGGAAATGCCAGAGACAGCTGGCAGCAGGTGTGCGCCCAGGAAGGTTCCCCAGAGGCTGGTGAGTGGCAGGCCTGGTTCCAGGGTGGACCTGTAGGGGCAGGGGACCCCCCTCTCTTCCTTTCTTGCTTTTGTTTCCTGGCTCATGCAGTGGGTGGTTTGCCACCTGCCCCTGCCTAAGGCCAAACCTTTACTCCGTTATGTAAAGAAGGCTGAAGAACGCACCTTTCCTGTCCGGCTGGTGGGGGCCACAGCTGCCTCCCAGCGCAGCACTTGCTCCCACACCTACTGACCATAAGCTGGTGCACACAGGAAGCAGACGAGGTGACTGCTGTCCTCAGCACCTGGTGAGCAGGTCAGCAGGTTTCCTGCCTACAGCCCTCCTCCATAGGGACAGGCCCCAAGTTGGTCTGCAGCCTACACTTCCCACTGGGCCAGCCTCGGGTCCACAGCTGCGGCCCAACCTTCCTGGCCTTGGGCTGCAGTCTGCTGCTGCTGGGCTCTCCCATCCCAATCCCAGCACGGAACCCCAGTGCCACCTTCCGGCCCTCCAGCACTGACCATCCGGTTCCTTCTGCCCCTGCCTGGTGGCTCCCCAACCTCAGGGTGCCCCGCAGTGACTGCCCTCACCCCATCACTGACTCAGCAAACGTCATAGGCCACTCAGAGTCAGCAGGCACCGGCTCTGCCCCACTACTCTCATCCCAGCCACATGCCAGGGACACCACCGCCGTCTCATGTCCCCCCCGGCAGGATATCAGGCTCCTGCAGGGCAGAAGAGGTGGCTGATGGCATCACCTGATGAGGAGCTGGTTCCTCCAGGTCCAGAGCTAAGGGCTAAGGGCTCGGGGCTCCTGCATACCCACAAATGCAGTCACTAGGCCCCTGATCCAAGAGGAGGGCCTGTCACCCTCAACTCCCAGCCCAGGCCTACCCTGCCCAGCTCCACCTGCCCCTGCCTGAAGCCCTGCCACAAGGGGAATCTCCTCCCCGGGATCCCGGACCTCAGCCACCTCCCAGGGCGACTGCACGTGTGTAGAGCCAGCCCTGGGGTCTGGAGAGGCCTTT